GTCAGGTTTTTTTTTTTTTTTTTTTTTTTTTTTTTTTTTCTCATTCAATGCCCTCCGCCTCTTCTTAAGCTTCCATATTCATTCTCGTGTCGTTTCTTCCTGTGTGTTTCGTGGTCATTTTGCTAGGCCTTTTTTTTAATGCAGGCTAGGTCAAATTTTCCCATACATCTTTTTCTGGCCTTTCATCAGACCTTTCTCAACCCCAGGCTCAATTACTTTTGCTTAGTCATCATTTCCACATATATTTTTCACAGGCATTTTGCCAGGCTTTTCTCAAGCCCATCTTAATCACTTCCACATACATTTCTCACGGGCATCTTACTAGGCTTTTCTCAGGCCCAACTTAGTCGCTTCCACATACATTTCTCACGGGCATCTTGCCAGGCTTTTCTCAGGCCCAACTTAGCCACTTCCACATACATTTCTCACGGGCATATTGCCAGGCTTTTCTCAGGCCCAGCTTGGTCACTTCCTCATACATTTCTCACGGGCATCTTGCCAAACTTTTCTCAGGCGTAGCTTAGTCATTTCCACATACATTTCTTACGAGCATATTGCCAGGTTTTTCTCAGGCCCAACTTGGTCACTTCCTCATACATTTTTCACGGGCATTTTGCCAGGCTTTTCTCAAGCCCAGCTTAGTCATTTCCACATACATTTGTTTGTTGTTTCTTTCACACGCTTTGTTCTTAGGTAGATGGCACACCTTCCCCCCACTCAATCGCAATGTCCCCATCGCCCAGCTGGTTCTCACTTGGAGGTACGCAGATCTTGCCTGCCAACTAAGTAAATGGATGTCGGCCCATCAACCCCAAAAAGGAAGGGTGATCAGTCCTCCTCTTGCTGATAACTCACCCCATCCTCTACTCCAGTCCGGCGGCCACTTCTTTGGAGTTGGGCATCATCATTGAGGTGCCTCCTCGCATGTGTAAGGCAGGTCCAGTCCATGCCTCCCAGGACCCCATCATACCGAAAGTGGCTCCCTCGCGAATCGTTCCTCCCAAGTGGTAAGTTTTGTGGATCCGGCCTCTTCCTTCTCAAGCGAGTTGGGGCTCTCTGTTAGTTTGCGAGTGCAGTTACGAAGACCTCGCGGTTAGTCCCCGGAACGGTTGTAATGCTCCGGCAGGGCGGTGTCAATGCCGTGTGGTGGTGGCGGACTCCACCCAGTATCTCGCCCCGACCTTCCCTGTGGACAGTGCCGCTTGACTTAGTGTGAGCAGCCTAGGTCTATCCCAAACGACCAGGCTGCCCCTCAACGGTATGGCGTGTGGTTAGAGAGGGTCATCAAGACTTAGAAGAGCAACTTTTCGGCCCATCTCGGCGCCCTGGACTTTTTAGAAACTCAACGCGAGGCGCAATTTGAACCTTCTGACTAAAGCTCATTGTCGAAGCTGGTTCCGGATGTCGAGTACCGTGACCGATACCTTGATCCTTTAACCTGGTGCCCTACTTACGAGGGGCAGGTCGTGCTTCGACATTTCCCTACGGGGTAGAGGTTCCGGGGTTGCGGTGCCTGCACCACTATCCCCCTCATGCTGAGGCCTGAGATTAGAAGAAGAAGGAAGGCTCAATCTCTTGCTATTTCCATGGTCGATCTGCGACCTCTTTTCAAATTGCCTAGGGTCCCCTGTTAATGCAATGCAATTTCCAATCCTCAGGCAAACGCTCAATCCAATGCTCTTCCCAACTCTTCCTCAAGGCTGATTTTCATGGCTGGTCCGACAACCTCTTTTCAACAAGGCCACTTCTTGTGACCGATCTGGCGGCCTCTTTTCAATAGACCACTTCTCATGACCGACCCGTCGGCCTATCTTTTACCTCTCAGTTTTCACTTTTTCAATAGCCATCCCTTATGACCGTCCCAACGGTCCATGCCCTTCTCATTTTGAATTTTGCCTTCTTTTATCCTGCCCTCCAATTCTTCCCTTCTCAATCTTATTTCAAGGCTGTTTTAGTGTCCGTCCCCTCGGCCTCTTTCCATCACACCCATCCTTTTCGTCTTTTCTCATGGCTATTTCAATGACCGACCAGACGACCTTTTCACTTCTCATTTTTTCTTTCACCTTTCCTCCTGGCTATTTCAATGACCGACCCTCCGACCCTTTCCCTTCTCATTTTTTCTTTCACCTTTCCTCCTGGCTATTTCAATGACCGACCCTCCGACCCTTTCCCTTCTCACATTTTTCTCTTTCATCCTTCCTCGTGGCTATTTCAATGACCGACCCACCGGCCTTCTCTATTTCACATGTTTCTCATTCCAACTCATTCTCAATCAGCCTTTCTCAAGCCGTCATGCAAAGGGACCCCAGTGCCTATTTCAGAAGACGACAACCCTTGTTAGGGGTCATTCCCAAATAACCTGGTTAGGGTTATTCTTTTCCATTCTCAGCCTTGTTAGGGCCATTCCTTTCCATTCTCAAGTCGAACGGTCTGGTTAAGGCCATTCTTTCCCATTCTCAAATCGAACAGCCTGGTAAGGGCCATTTTTTTCCATTCTCAAGTCGTACAGTGTGGTTAGGGTCATTTCTTTCCATTCTCAAATGCTTAGCGCTCGAGGGGATGGGCTTTGAGGACACCAATCCGATCTTTTACTTGGGGGTTAGGAGACTGCCATCTTTGCAGTTTTCAGCGTGCCGTATCTTTCCTCTTATTCTCACCATAGTTTTCCTCAATTCCAACATCCTTATTCATACACCCGGCTTAGCGTCTAGCACCCAAGCGGAGACTTTTCAACCTAAGGCAATGCTAGCCCGCCCGACCGTTCAACCATAGATCAGGTGCAACAGACTTCTCAGGCCGGTAGTTCAGGATCTGTCGGGTCAACGGTCGCGCAAACCCAGAGTTCGTCCACTGGCGTAATGGCACGCCAACCACTAGTGTTGACCTCCGACGAGATCGCCATACAGCAGGCAGCCCTGCAGGAGGCACAGCTACAGCATGCATTAGGACACATAAAAGCGGCGAAAGAAAGGATGATTAGAAGAAGAGCCAGGATGAAGCGGAGAGAAGCGGACGTTAGTGAGTTAGAGGAGATGGACCTCACGCACATGACTGATGATGTGAGGCTCATACGGTATGTCCTACTGAATGTAGTTGAGATGCAGGACCATCAGACAACAATCCTTCAGGACATCCACCAAAGTCTGGCCCTGTTGGTTGGGCGAGCGCAGACAACGTCGCCAATGTCCGGGCCTGGTGCCTGGCCCGTTGTACAGCCTCCTCCTTTTGTCCCACCGGTGACTGGGGTATCCCCATATGTAGCCCCATCATCGGTCGCGATCGTTTCCCTGGGCATGTCGCTATCAGGAGGGTAATCAGCAGGAACTAGTTTGCAGGTTCTTGAACATACAATGTTCACCCAATCTCCGTTGCAAGTTGCGGTCACCACGCAGCCTGCTGTCTCGCAGCCTGTGCAGTCGCTGGGCACACAGCCCCAGAAGTTAGTACAGCAGCCTGTGTCACAGGGTCCACAGCCCGGAGTGATGAGGGACCGGGACAAACAAAGTGGGTACCAAAGACGGCCATCGCCGCTCCTAAACCCTTCACAGGGGATAAGAGGGGCGAAAACCTCGACACGTGGTTGAGAACAGTGCCAGTCTATGTCAGGTGTAAACTTACCTTGCCGCACGAAGAAGTGCTTGTGGCTGCCTCCAACCTAGAGGGTAGTGCAACAAGATGGTTGAGTGGTTTAGTGCAACTCCAGGGGTATGGTCATGACTTCCGCGCTTGGGCGGTCACCCAAAAATTGGATGACTTCCTTAAGCTGGTGGAGGAAAGGTGGCATGATCCTTAGGAGGCCCAAAGGGCCACTGATGCGATCCTGACACTGCACACGCGACAGTTCAAGTCAGTAAGGGAAGCCACCGACGCTGTTGAGCATCCGATCTGCGTCCCAGGGGTGCGCTAGGACCCCCAGGTACTACTCACCTCCTACCTGAGATGCTTCTCCTTGCCTCTCAAGAACCAGTTAGTTGGTAGGTGAGGCCAACATCAATATGCACAACTTTCCTTCGTTTAGCAAGCAGGCCCTAGACCTTGAGGCAAAGATAGGGCATGGACAGGCACCCACTACGGATGGTAGGAAAAAAACACTGCCTCCTAACTGGAAGGCGAAGGGACGCATTATGTTTGTCGACAACGATGGATCAACCATGGAATTGGACGACAACTTCGAGGAGGGAGTAGGTGCAGAGGCGGGCAGCGTTGAAGAAGCTTCAGGGGGTGGAGTTGTCGCTGCCGTAGCTCAAAAATGTAAGGCGACCGGTAGACGCCGCGGAGCCTCCCGGTCAAGGAGTCAAGTCGACCCCAACGCTCCCCCATGGGAGAAGGCGGGTCTATCAGAGGACGTGTGGAGAGATCGGTACACACGGCAGGCTTGCATTCGTTGTGGTCAATACGGCCATAACCAGTTCAAGTGCCGTAACAAGAAGGTGACCGACAAGATCCCGCCTACGATGGGGCAGGCGGTAGGATCCTCCCATCTCGTTGGTAGCAATGTTGCCAGCACTTCAGGCACTGCTCCGGGAAACACGTCGGGCCAGTAGGAATAGTAGTTGTTCCTACTAGGGTCGAGGTGGTGGAGACACCCTCACCACCTCGAGAGATGGCCCAAGCTACTGACCCCAGCGTCGTCCTGCAAACACATTCAGACCCATCGAGCCTCTGTTCGATGAATGTGTTTGGAGCTAGAGGAGGAGTGGTCTAGATCAGACCCTCTAGCTTCTTGGACGACTTTAGTCAAAGCCCCGAAGGGTGAGATGTTCATCAGTGTGGTAGTCATTGGCGGCTGCAAGGCCGGGGCCTATTGTGACACTTGCTCGACTAGGAACTTCATCAGTTGCGCGTGCGTTGAGAGGCTGCGTTTACATGGGCGAGTGCAGCGCCTGAGTCGACCTGTGCCAACAAACATCGCATGGTAGTCAACGACTACCTCCAAGATGTTGAGTGTTGTTTCCCGTACGCGGCAGGGGAATTGAGACATCGTGTCTCGTTCCTAGTAAGTCACGAACTCCCCATGTACATGTTGTTAGGTATGTACTACCTCTCTGTGGCACAGCCCCAGTTTGACTGGGACCGAAAAGTGGTTAAACACACTTTGCCAGGTGGAGGGACCGCCAGATTGCGTAAGTTCAAAGCTAGTAGTCTGATTGAGACCCACGGGTGCATGTGTGCGGCCGCATTCTACAATTATTATAAGCAAAATCAGGAGGAGGGTATGTACTTAGTTTATGTCTCTGCTGCGGGCGAGCCAGTGAAAATGCCGCCGGAGATAGAGGGAGTAGTTGCCAAGTACCCTGATCTATTTGAAGAGCCGACAGGGGTTGTAGAGAGGGAGGTCGTCCACGTGATAGAAATTATCCCAGGGTCTAGCATCCCGAAGGGTAGGATCTATCGGATGTCTCCAAGCGAGCTCGATGAGCTTCGCCGACAACTCAAGGAACTCGTAGAGAAGGGTTGGATCCGGCCGAGTGTCTCTCCTTATGGGTCTCCAGTACTATTCGTACCTAAGAAGGAGGGAACAATTAGGATGTGCATTGACTATAGGAGCCTCAATGCCATCACTGTAAAGAACAGAGAGCCCCTATCGCGCATCGACGATTTGCTAGATAGAGTGCAAGGGTGTCGGTACTTCAGTAAGATAGATCTGAAGTCCGGGTACCATCAGATTGCAATCTGGCCCGAGGATCAACACAAAACCGCCTTTCAGACGAGGTACGGTCTGTACGAGTTTGTGGTGATGCCTTTCGGCCTTTGCAATGCTCCTGGCACCTTTCAGCACGCTATGAATCGGATATTCCATCACTACTTAGATAAGTTTGTTATCGTGTACCTCGATGACATACTTATTTTTAGTAAGACTTTCAAGGAGCACGTTGCAGATTTGGACAAAGTCCTGAGTCTCCTGCGACAACACAGGTTCAAGATCAATGGTGAGAAGTGCGAGTTTGGCCGCACTCGTGTCTTGTACTTGGGTTATGAGATATCCGCAAAAGGGTTGAAGCTCGATGACGCGAAGGTGGCCAGCAGTCGTGATTGGCCGCGTCCTCAGTCTGTGACTAAGATGAGATCATTCTTAGGGATGACCGGCTACTATCGCAATTTCGTGGAAAACTATAGCATAGTTGCCGCCCCTTTGACTAATCTAACCCGCCTTGACACCCCATGGGAGTGGATTGAGAGATGCGAGGCTGCTTTCAGACATCTGAAGCATGCGTTGACGCATTACGGAGTCTTGAAACTTCCTGATCCTGACAAGCCATTTATAGCTACTACGGATGCTAGCCAATATGGCATAGGTGCCGTACTTGCACAACAGGAGGGGAAAAAGTTGAGGCCTGTCGAGTACATGTCCAAAAAGATGCCCTCTCAGAAGTTGGCAAAGTCCACCCATGAGAAGGAACTCTATGCGGTGTACAAGGCTCTGACCCATTGGAGACACTATCTCCTTGGGAGGTTCTTCATCCTCAGGACTGATCATCAGACCCTGAGATGGATGAGAGCTCAGCCGGTACTCTCTGACGCTCTCAAGCGTTGGATCGAAGTCATAGAGCAATATGACTTCGAGCCCCAGTACATCAAGGGCGAGTACAACAAGGTTGCTGATGCCCTGTCGCGTAGACCTGATTTCTCAGCTGCGCTGCTCACTGAGTTTGGGTTTGCGGACAATGTTATTCAGTTCATGGTGGAGGCCTATAGCGAGGATCCGTTCATGTCCGAGATCATCCGCAGACTCGAGGCGAAGGACAAAGTGACTTCTGTCGAGTTTGAGTTGGTCAACGGCTTGCTGTTCCTTGACAAGGCTGGGAATAAACGTTTGTGTGTTCCTAATAGGGAATCTTTGTGTAGTTTATTTTTAGGAGAAGATGGCACCGGACATTTTGGCTTTAAGAAGACTGCAGCCAATTTGTTGCAGCGGTTCTGGTGGCCCACGATGATGAGAGATGCGAAGCTGTACGTGGAGACTTGTCAGGTCTGTCAGAGGAACAAGCCACTTACCCAGGCTCCTCTTTGGCTCCTAAAGCCCCTTCCGATTCCAGAAAGGCCTGGTGAGAGCCTGTCCATGGACTTCATAGATACGATGGTCACCAGCAAGAGTGGTATGCGCTACCTCTACGTCATTGTGGATAGGTTTACTAAGTATGTTAGGTTAGTAGCAATGCCAGAAACAGCAAGAACGGACTATGTGATCAGAATGTTCAAAGAGAATTGGGTTAGGGACTTTGGTTTACCGAGGTCTATTATTAGTGACAGGGATGTCCGATTTACCAGCGAATTGTGGAAGGCTGCTGCTACAGAGCAGGGAACCCAGTTGCAGATGACTTATGGGAATCACCCAGAGGCCAACGGCCAGGCTGAGCAACTGAACCGCGCCGTACAACATCTGTTGAGGCAGTACATGAAGCCCAACCAGGTGGACTGGGATGAGAAGCTTGCTCTCATCGCCAGCCTGTACAACAATGCGGTACACAGCGCCACCGGGGTGAGCCCGAACAGTTTGCTATTGACTTTCAAGCCTAGACTACCTTTAGATTTTCTCCTTCCTGAGAATCAGGCAACTGCTGCACCAGGTACTCTAGAATTTGCCTATCGGTATGAACAGAAGATGCAGCAGGCTGTAGAACAGATGCAAAAAGCACAGGCGGCTATGATAGAATCTGCGAACAAACACCACTGTGAGTCTTCATTTCAGGATGGGGACAGAGTCTGGGTTAAGTCCTCAGAACTGGGACAGGAGCACAGGATCTCCCGCAAGCTCATGCCACAGTACTTTGGACCATGGAAAGTCTTAGATATTGTTGGGACTGATCCGGATGTACCTTCTTACGTAGTCCGGATCCCTGGTCATCTCCGTACTTACCCTGTTTTTCACGCCTCCAAGCTTGCACCGTTCAAAGAAACAGATCAGTTTCCATCCCGCCGATCAATGCTGCCCCCAACCATGGACGGAGAGGTGGATATCGATGATATCGTGGACCACAGGGAGATGCCAGTGGCAAGTCCAACAGGCAGGGGACGCCCTCCGAAACCGAAGCTGCAGTACCACGTTCGGTTCCGGCATCTGCCCTAAGTGAAGGCAGGCTCGATGAGGCCCTCAGGGCCCTGTTTTGGTCACCACGCAACTCGAGCAAATTCAGGCAGTTGCGTAGCACCAGTTGGTTGAGAGAACCCAGGCCCTGGGCCGCCTGTGTGAATATATGGAAAGCAGGCCCTGGGCTGGATACGGGTACTGGGCCGAACACCGGCCAAAGGCAGATGGGCGCATGCAACCACATCTGGCCCAAGGCCTGTTCTCGTTTGTGCTGGGCCTCAGGCTACCGGGGCCTACTGGAAGCTTCCTGGGACTGGACGCAGGCAGGCCACTTCGATATAGCAAACGGCCTGCCTCTGCATTCGGCATTCGGGTGCTGGCTGCATGCTGTGCAAGCGCTGCTGCGCTATTTGCTGGCTGGCGCCTACCCGCTAACGGGCGAGCAGGGAAGGAGCAGGCAGCCATAGCCGAGCTGCGCTGCTGTAAGCTGGGTGTGGCGCAGGGTGGTCCTTGGGGAACGAGGTTGTGAGTAAGGTGAGAGACATACCTGGTGCTGGAAGCGTGCGACATTGGTCGCTGTATGCTCGTACTTCGGGAGAGCTGTTGTCGTTAACTTCGGCATTGTAGTATATGCTAGATAGGATCTGCCACATGTAGTCTGGGCGCCGAGCGCCAGATAGGATATCAACTCTGGTTCTTCGTTGATGATGATGATGGGACTATTTCAGCATTATCAATTATGAACTCTTGGTGTGTTCTTATTTGGTGAAACTCGTGATGCAATTCTACTGTTGGTTCGAGGTCACGACTATCTGGACTCGTATGTATGATGCTGTTTGATTGCTGAAGTTCGCTATTGCTCATCTTCCTTGCACAGCTTTTTTTTTTTTTTTAACGCTGTGAAACGGTATTCACCAATTCGTGGTAGCTGAGGCAGATCCCAGGGCTCGATCCCTAGTTCCCCAACTTACCTGTGTACAATACCTGCGTCAACTCGAAGAGTTGAACCTGCGACCTGTAGAACCGCCAGTGGTAGGTAGGTGTTTCGTAGGTCTATAGGCAGCCAGGATTCGATCCGTAGACCTGTAGATTAGAAGGCTAGCTGCAGTCCTTCTAGAAGGTTGGCAAGTGGTCAAGTGCTGCAGGCAAGTGGGCAAGTGGTGTGACTAAAGCAAGCCCATGTTGGAGACGAGGACAAGTGGCAAGGGCAAATAGTAGGACCCCAGTGCAACTGCACTGCGTCGTAGGGTAGTCACCATGCAGTCATGGGAGAGTCTAGAAAGTACCAGTCCGGTCCAGCAAGTACCACGGGGGGGACTGTGTGCACCATGGGCCAGGGATACAGGGCAGACCAACGCAGCGCAGAAGTATAAATCAAGAGGCTGCGTCCAGCCATTCATTCATTCCTGCGGATGCCATGCGGAAGCGCTGCCTTAGCAGCTTGTGCGAGGAGGTCTGCAGTGTGCCCGAAGACGAAGTGGGCAGAGAAGTGTAGTGTAGCGATAGGTAGTGGCAGCTAGCGCTGCCATAGCTGTAGCATAGCGTGCGTGTGTGTTGCGTATGATACTGAGTGTTGCGTGTGGGACATCCAGGGTGATCCAGAGTGCGAACAGTGAGTTGTGTGGGCGCCCAGTCGCCATAGCCAGTTGAAGAGAACTCATATCTGGTTACGATATCTTAAGTACTGTCAGGGCGCATGTCGCCAGTTGCTGTATCGCTGTTTGCATGCAAGACAAGTGTGAATAATCGGAGTGTGAATGCACGCTGTCTGCCTGGACTCTTTTTTTTTTTTTTTTTTCTATGTGCTGACTGAGTGGACTGGACTCGAATTCAAAATTCACTAAACTAGTAAACTTATCTCTCTACATCCTAACTCTGCAAGACATTCTGAGCCCAACTCAATCTAGTCATCCCTTCAGAACTTCACCTACTAATCTACAAGGATGATGACTCGTCCAGACTCGACCAGACAGCAGCAGCGACCACCAGAATTATGGGAAGGTACCGATCACACACACATTCAGCATGCATACAGGTCTTATGGGGCCAGGGGTTCTTCTCTGATATGACGTCAGTTGATGAAGTTCCACATATGCTCCACGCTCCAGTGCTGCTCCAATCAGGTACGTAATCTTCTACTCAAGCCCCTTCTTCTTTGACACTCTTCCCTCCAGATCCTCACCACTTTCTCTCTCCTCCTCGAAACTTCTCTTCTCGCCGGCCTTATGCTTGCCAGCGAACTCCAGTGAGTGTAACGAGTGCAGCTCCGATACCAGTTTGCAATGAGCCTCAAAGCTCACCACACGATGAAGTGCTCAAGCCAGCATGCATGTCTCACAGATTCACAGATTGCATAGTCACACACATTGCACAAAGAGAAGATGAGTGGTAGACCAGATAGCGCAGCTCAATTATCACAACCAGATTAAGAAGAGCGAATCAAGAGTTCAACTGTCCACCGCTCAACAAGATTACAAGTCTCCTTCAATCATCAAGAGTCTCAGCATCTGCGCTCATCAGCGCTTGTTACCATCACCAAGTTCAGCGCTCTTCAGGTAAGTATCTACCATAACTCACTACTAACACACACATGAGGATCAACTCTGAATACTACTCACTGCTCTACTGCTAACTATATTGCCTCCTAGTGCTGGCGCAGCTATGGCTGCCTTCTTCAATGCCAGTGACTGCTTCCTCTCTCTCATCTCACCCAGTGCTGCTCTCTGGCATAGCGCAGCCCTCACACTAGCGCACAAGTGCACAAGCACTTCCACACTCTCATGTGAATGAGCATCTGCCGAAATGGGTGGCTGGCGAGTCTTTTGTAGTGTTGAGCTGGTCTTGGCAGGGCCAGCCTCTGGCCAAATTTCCTGGTACCGCATGCCCACTGCCTGTTTGTTGCGAAGTGTGAGTCCCAGTACCTTTCCCATGGTCTGCTGCCGCTCTGGACTTTCGGGCCTGCCTTTTGGACTTCTGGTCTGACTCAAGACTTGACCTCTGGGACTGAGACTAAACTGGGCCTGCGACCTTTGACTATCTGCTGAACAGACGTGACCCCTACCCAGCTTCAAACTTGACTGTTCGCACAGGACCTAGAAGTGACTTTTGCAAAATGACTTTCCATTTCAGTCTGGACGCGACATTTGCCTCAGGGGAACTTGTCTTTTGGAATGTTGATCCGTAACTCCAGGTTCTGGCTGACTGGGCCCTTTCATGTTGGGGTCGTGATTCAGGGTCTGAATCGTGAAAGCCCTTTTCCCAGCAAAAGACCAATGATAATTCCCCCTTCTTCTGGCCAACCAATCTCCTCCTCCTTTTCTCCTCCCCTCTTATTCAAACAATAATTATTAATAATAATGATGAATGGCAGAACCAGGGCCAACCAATCTCCTCCTCCTTTTCTCCTCCCCTCTTATTCAAACAATAATTATTAATAACAAGTGGACCCGCCGCAGCCACGCTGCAGCAGAGGAGAGGGACGAAGAGGGCGGCGGGGCTGTCGCTGTTACACTGCCAATTTTTTTCATCAATATTTTTTTTTTGTCATCATATTCGCTATACACTCAAAAAAAAAATGACTGTGGCAGATTGTTTCCGAGTGATGAGGAGGTTGTGTGTGTGTGTGTGTGAGAGAGAGAGAGAGACACTCTCTCTCTCTCTCTCTCTCTCTCTCTCTCTCTCTCTCTCTCTCTCTCTCTCTCTCTCTCATCCACTTGTGTACATAAAAGATATACACACATGTTTGTTATTGCAACATGACAATGCTACATAGGAAAGAGCATGCAAGTTTTCTTTTTTCTTTTCTGCATCTACTGGTAGATAAGTCCATATACATACGGTAAAACGTCCGATCTACTGGTAGATGAGACCAGATACGTTCCGTATCTACTCGTAAATGACGCCAGATACGTCCCGACGGAAGGAAGAAAGGAAAGAGAAGGAAGGGAGGAAGGACGGAAGGAACGAAGGAAGGGAGGGACGTGAATATTATTTACCGATCGATGTACCTGTCTGTCAATCCGGATATATGCATTATAGCAGTAGAGAGACGTCATGTTTTTTGAAGATACTACCCGATAAACGAAGCCTCGATAGTAAGAATTAAGATACCACGCGATGTGTCTTACTCTTGTTATTCTCTCACAAATCCTTGAGACTTACTGAACCTTATCGATAGATAGACAGACACGTTTACATTCTCTCTCTCTCTCTCTCTCTCTCTCTCTCTCTCTCTCTCTCTCTCTCTCTCTCTCTCTCTCT